TGGGAGGCCAAGGCGGGCAGATCACGAGGTCAGGAGATCGAGACCATCCTGGATAACACAGTGAAACCCCATCTCTACTAAAAAAAAACACAAAAAATTAGCTAAGTGGGGTGGCAGGTGCCTATAGTCCCAGTTACTCTGGAAGCTGAGGCAGCAGAATTGCGTGAACCTGAGAGGCAGAGCTTGCAGTGAGCCGAGATCACGCCACTGCACTCCAGCCTGGGCGACAAAGCAAGACTCCGTCTCAAAATAATAATAATGATAATAATAATAATAAAAGTTTAGAATAAAATGCTATATAAAAAACTTTTTATAAAGCTATAGAAAACACTAAAACAACTTGACAAAGGTTGCATTAGAGAAAATTACAGACTATTCTCACAAATAATGATGTAAAATTTCTAAATAAAATATCAATAAATAGGCCAGGTGTGGTGGCTCACACCTTATAATCTCAGCACTTTAGGAGGCTGAGGTGGGCAGATTATCTGAGGTCAGTAGATTGAGTCCAGCCTGGTCAACATGGCAAAATCCCGTCTCCACTAAAAATACAAAAATTAGCAGTGCATGGTGGCACGCACCTATCCCGGCTATTCAGGAGGCTGAGGCTGGAGAATTGCTTGAACCTGAGAGGCAGAGGTTGCAGTGACCCGAGATCGCACCACTGCACTCCAGCCTGGGTGACAGAGTGAAACTCCGTCTCAAAAAAAAAAAATTAATTAATTAATAGAATCTGACTATACAATAAGAGAGTTCATCCCAGGAATACAATGATGATTCAATAATATAAATCCATTACTATAACTCACTATGTTAACAGATAAAAGAAGAAAATCTCTCTGATCATTCCACAGATGTACACTGGCATTTGAGAAAACTCAGTCACCATTTTTTATTTTAAAAACATCAGCAAGGGAGCAGGAACAAAAACAAAAAGCTCCCCACAACATTAGCAACACACCCCAGCATGTCACTTAATGGCAAAAACACTAACAGCATTCTCACTGAAGTCAGGAATGAAACAAGTTACTCAGTGTCATCCCTATTATTTAACTTTGTTCTAGAAATGCAATGCAATCAGAAAAGAAAAAGAGATCAGACATGGTGGCTCACGCCTGTAATCCCAACACTTTGGGAGGCCGTGACAGGCAGATCACTTGAAGTCAGGAGTTGGAGACCAGTCTGGTCAACATGGTGAAACGCCATCCCTACTAAAAATACAAAAATTAGCCATGTGTGGTGGCATGTGCTTGTAATCCCACCTTCTCAGGAGGCTGAGGAAGGAGAATTTAGGCCTGGCATGGTAGTTCACGCCTAGCACTTTGGGAGACCCAGACAGAAGGATCACTTGAAGCCAAGAATTCAAGACCAGCCTGGGGGGCAACATAGTGAGACTTCAGATCTACCAAAAAAAAAAAAAAACACACAAAGAAGATTAACCAGGAGTGCATAAACACAGCATCTCAGCTACTAGGGAGGCTGATGTGGGAGGATCACCTGGGCCCAGGAGGTCTGGACTGCAGTGGGCCATGATCATGCCACTGTGCTCCAGCCTGGGTGATAGAACTGCCTTAAAAAAAAATTGTTTAAAAATATTCCAGGCCGGGCACTGTGGCTCACGCCTATAATCCCAGCAATTTCGGAGGCCGAGGCAGGTGGATCACGAGGTCAGGAGTTTGAGACCAGCCTGGCCAACATGGTGAAACCCTGTCTCTACTAAAAATACAAAAATTAGCCTGGCTCGGTGGCGGGTGCCTGTAATCCCAGCTACTTGGGAGGCTGAAGCAGGAGAATTACTTGAACCCGGGAGGTGGAGGCTGCAGTGAGCCAAGATCACCACTGCACTCCAGCCTGGATGACAGAACGAGACTCCTTCTCAAAAAAAAAAAATCCAACCTTTCATCCTACCAAAAAAAAGGAGAAGACGAATGGATGATTCAAAATTGGCTAAACACTGAAAACTTTAAGTGATGGATACATGAAGGCTCATTAGATTGTCTTCTCTACTTCCGTGTATGTTGACAATAAAGAGTTTTAGGCCGGGCGCGGTGGCTCAAGCCTGTAATCCCAGCACTTTGGGAGGCCGAGACGGGCGGATCACGAGGTCAGGAGATCGAGACCATCCTGGTTCACACGGTGAAACCCCGTCTCTACTAAAAAATACAAAAAACCAGCCGGGCGAGGTGGCGGGCGCCTGTAGTCCCAGCTACTCGGGAGGCTGAGGCCGGAGAATGGCGTGAACCCGGGAGGCGGAGCTTGCAGTGAGCTGAGATCCGGCCACTGCACTCCAGCCTGGGCGACAGAGCTACACTCCGCCTCAAAAAAAAAAAAAAAAAAAACTCTGCACTCCAGCCTGGGCGACAGAGCTACACTCCACTCTTCAAAAAAAAAAAAAAAAAAAAAAAGAGTTTTAAAAAGGTAGAGAAGGATCGCCTGTAATCCCAGCATCTTGAGGGAGGCCTGCAGATCGGGCGGATCACGAGGCAGGTCAGGAGATCGAGACCATCCTGGCTAACACGGTGAAACCCCGTCTCTACTAAAAATACAAAAACTAGCCGGGCGAGGTGGCGGGCGCCTGTAGTCCCAGCTACTCGGGAGGCTGAGGCAGGAGAATGGCGTGAACTCCGGGAGGCGGAGCTTGCAGTGAGCCAGATCCAGCTACTGCACTCCAGCCCGGGCTACAGAGCAAGACTCAGTCTCAAAAAAAAAAAAAAAAAAAAAAAGAAGGATCAAAAGGAGGATCATAAAAGACAGAAAGGAGCCGGCTCTGTGGCGCAATGGATAATTTGTTCATTCAACAAGTATTTTCTAACAACTACTAGGTGCCAGCTACTGGAAATACTTAAGTGGAGAAAACAAAGCTCCTGTTCTCATGGTGCTTCCATTCTGGTTGCAGGGGAGGCACACAAGCAAAAATTACAATCTCCAGTAAATGATAATAACGTCGACAGGGGTGGGCTGGTCTAAGAAGGCCTCAGTGAGGAGGTGATGGTGGCACAGAGTCTGAGAGAGGAAGAGGAGAAAGTCCAAGGATGTCTGAGAGAGCCAGCCGGGAAGGAAGACAACCAGTACAACCAGTAGCTCGCAAATTTGGTCTTCCTTGCCTTTGTTTTGCTTTTTACCCCAACAGTCTTTTGCTTATCCAAAGGATATGGACACAACTGGAATGCCTCTCTTTGTCCCGACTAGAAAATAAAAATTAATCAGGTCATTTTAATACAGTACATTCTTCAAGGAAGGTGCCAGGTCGGCGCTGTTTCCCCAAACGTTGTGGAAACAATTTTTTTCTTTCCTTTTTTTTTTTTTTTTTGAGACGGAGTTTCGTTCTTGTTGCCCAGGCTGGAGTGCAATGGTGCGATCTCCGCTCCGCGATATCTTGGCTCACCACAACCTCCGCCTCCCAGATTCAAGTGATTCTCCTGCCTCAGCCTCCCGAGTAGCTGGGATTACAAGCATATGCACCACCACGCCCGGCTAATTTCCTATTTTTAGTAGAGAAGGGGTTTCTCCATGTTGGTCAGGCTGATCTCGAACTCCTGACCTCAGATAATCTGCCCGCCTCGGTCTCCCAGAGTGCTGGCATTACAGGCGTGAGTCACCGCGCCCGGCAATTCGATTTTTTCGAAGGAAGAATTTTCCAATTTATCTAACATGCCATGTCTGTTAATAAAAGTGTATTAAAGTTAAATCATGAGTTTTTAATGCAAATAAATATTTCCATAGCAAAGAGAACAGATTAGTTTCACGAAAGATATTGATCAGATGCTAGATAATTTTACACCCATAGACACGAATCTATCAGTCTCTGCCCTTCTGTCAAATCATCGACTTAGAGGTGTCCATAGTTTAATTTCAAGATCTTTTAAGCAATGAAGTTGAAATTCTAATTTTCCTTAGGAGCGACTAGCATAAATATTTTACACTCAAGTGGCCAGCATCAACTAAGGGCATTCCAGATGGTCAAAAAAGAAGTGCTCTGCTACAACGCCCGAGATCACCATATAGTAACTTCTTCAAATCACCACGAAATATCAAGGCTTCAAAGCTGCCAGGAATGCTACGTTCTACAAACAGCCAGATAATTAGGAAACCAGCAGATGGGAGGAGAAATCTGTCCGTATGAAACATGTTCCCATCTCCATCCCAACTGCATCCCAGTTTTGAAAGTGGCTTTATATAAACGCGTTCATCTTCCACCCAAAGGGAGAACACCAATAACCAAACGATCCAGGACTGCAAGGTGATTCCCAAGGAGGCGAACTTGTGCGGACAGATTTCACGCACCACGAACCACCACCAGCAGAGGGAAGGACAGGCTTCCCTCCGACGGCTGCGATGCTCCGAGTCCCTCCTTCCCCTACAACCTGCGGCCCACTGAGCCCTTCCCCAAAGGTCCCGGAGTTCTGAGCGATACACGCCCCCGACCCTAGTTACCTGGGAGGGGCGCCGAGCGCCCAAGGTGCCAGTAAGGCTCCGTGCACGCAGCCCAGCCTGAAGGGCGCCTGCCCGGGCGCTCGGTGCGGGGCCCGATGCAGAGCAGGAAGAGGAGGTCCGAGTGGGCCCCAGCGCTCTCAGGATCTGGCGCCGGCCCCTCTGCCTCATGCCTCTGCTGTGCCCGACGTCCAGGGATCTCCCAAGGACTCCCCACCCCTTACCCTGCTCTCCCACGCGGGGTCACGACTTCGGGCGGCGCCAAGCCCCCAACGTAAGGGTCCCCCGGGCTTCCCGGGAAAGGGTCGGGGTGCAAAGCTAGGCTGGGAGTGCCCAGCGCGAGGGCGGGAGGAGAACACAGGGGGTCAGGGGCAGGGCAGAGCGCTCCCTCCGCGCTGCCTGGGGTAGGGAGCGGGGGTGGGGCCGCCGCGGGCCAAATGCGGGACACTAGCGCGGATCCGGGCGGCCGCAGATCGGGCGGGCGCCCACCCTGGGTGGGGCTGGGGGGTGCTGGGGCCCCCTGCGGGACGCACCTGCGCCAGGTGAGCCCCCCCACCGCGAAGTCTCACCTGCCCAGCGCCCGTTTCATTCCCGCGTCGGCTGCGCAGCACTGCTCGGCCGCCCCCGTGCCCGTCAGGCGCAGGTTCTGCTTCAGGCGGCAGTCGGCGTCCAGCGCCGCGGCAGCCGAGCCGGAGGAGGACGAGCCCGCGGCGGCGCAGCGCTCATGCTCCAAGGCGACGGGCTCGGTCCGCTTCCTCATCCCGCGGCCGACAGGGCCGGCCGCCGACGGCGCCCGCTGGCCTCACCCGCCGCCTGCGCCGCAATGCCGCCGCTCACAGCTGCCGCCGCTCGCAGCCGCCGCCACCCGGAGCCCGGAGCCCGGAGCCCGGAGCCCGGAAACCGCCGCTCCTCACATCCCAGCCCAGGCCGCGGCGCCCGCTACGAACCAGCTGCGGGGGCCCGCCGGCCACGCCGGCCAATCAGCGCCGGGCTCCCGCTGGCCCTGCCCCCGGCCCCGCCCCAGCCACCTCTTCCCGGGTTCCGAGGGGCGCGCGCCCAGCGTCTTCGGCGCCACCCGCAGCCATCTTGTGGGAGGGTAGGCGAAGCCGCAGCGGCGCGTCATCTGCAGGGCAGGGCTCTGGGCTCCATCCCGAGGCTGCAGCTGCCCTCGCCCGGGCGCTCGGTGTGAGGAGCACCCACTCCCTGTCGTGCCCGGGTTCAGTGACCCAAAAGGGGTGGCCCAGCGAGCCAGACCCGCAAGGCCGGGCCCCTCGCGCTTCTGCGAACGGAAACCCAGAGGTAGCAAATCGCATTTCCGTTCTCGTGATTCTTAACTCTACTCACAAGGACTTTACCTTTAAAAGTATGCTTTCCGGTCGTCAATTTTTAATTTGAAGCAAATGTATAAACTCAGTTTTTACTTTTGGGCCGAATATATGAACTGCTTGAAAAATTTACTCTTTAAAAACCTGTATTAGATTTTAGATTTTTATAAAGCAATTAAGACTACCTGATGGGAGGAAAATCCATTTCAAAGATAAATTCGCCCTTGTGAAACCCAAATTTAGTACTAATTCAACCCATCCTAAAAAGAGAAAAGGAAAGAAAAAAGGACAGTTTCACAAATTTAGTTTTATAACTTTGGCTTTCCTTAATATGGCATTGATTTTACATATGATCTATAACCAAGAGAGATATTTGCTTACTTATTCCAAAGTAACTTTAGAAATTTAAGTATTTGTCACTTTGAAAACTATTAGCAATTGGTAATCTAAGATCAATTGGAAATGCGTTTAGAAATTCTACAAATTTTTATATTACTTTTGTAGTGATACTTTGAAATTGCAACGTAATTTGTAGACCATATTACTAAGTGTTATAGCCTGCATTCATAATTGTGTCACTCTCTCCAGATATACTTTTTAAAAACATATTATGGGCTGAGGTCTGTGGCTCATGCGTGTAATCTCAGCACTTTTGGAGGCGGAGGTGGGTGGATCACTTAAGTACAGGAGATGGAAGCCAGACCAGCCTGGCCAGCATGGTGAAACTCTGTCTCTACTAAGAATACAAAAATTAGCCGAGTGTGGTGGCACAAGCCTGGGTGACAGAGCAAGACTGTTTTAAAAAAAAAAAAAAAAAAAAAAAAAAAAAAAAAGACTGGGCGAGGTGGCTCACACCTGTAATCCCAGCACTTTGGGAGGCCGAGGCAGGCGGATCACAAGGTCAGGAGATCAAGGCTAACCTGGCCAACATAGTGAAACCCCATCTCTACTAAAAATACAAAAATTAGCCAGGTGTGGTGGCACAAACCTATAATCCCAGCTACTTGGGAGGCTGAGGCAGGAGACTTTCTTGAACCTGGGAGGCAGAGGTTGCAGTGAGCTGAGATCACGCCATTGCACTCCAGCCTTGGGGACAAAAGCAAACTTCTGTCTCAAAAAAAAAAAGAAAAAAAATAGCTGGGTATGGTGGCGCATGCCTGTATTCCCAGCTGCTTGGGAGACTGAGGCAGGAGAATTGCTTGAACCAGGGAGTCGGAGGTTGCTGTGATCCGAAATTGTGCCACTGCACTCCACCCTGGCGACAGAGGGAGACTCTTCTCAAAAACAAACAAATTAGCCGGGTGTGGTGGTGCACGCCTGTAATCCCAGCTACTTGGGAGACTGAGGCAGGAGAATTGCTTGAACCTGGGCTGCTGGGATTGGGAGGTTGCAGTGAGCTGAGATCACACAACTGCACTGCAGCCTGGGTGACAGAGCAAGCCTCCATCTCAAAATAAACAAACATACTATGAAATATAAGTGATAAATTCTTTATAGTGATGTGGTAACACATCCTGGAGAAATTGGAAATCTAGGAAATAACTAAAACGTAAAAGAAAAAAAAAGTTTGACTTTATCACTCACTTCAATTGAAAACAAACAAAAACAACAACAGCAGGGAGTGGTGGCTGACACCTGTAATCCCAACACTTTGGGAGGCCGAGGTTGGGGGATCACAAGGTCAGAGATCGTGACCATCCTGGCTAACACGGTGAAACCCCGTCTCTACTAACAATATAAAAAATAAGCCGGGCGTGGTGGCCGGCCCCTGTAGTCCCAGCTACATGGGAGGCTGAGGCAGGAGAATGGCATCAACCCAGGAGGTGGAGCTTGCAGTGAGCTGAGATGGCACCACTGCACTCCAACCTGGGCAACAGAGTGGGACTCCGTCTCAAAAAAAACCAAGCAAACCAAAGAAAGGAAGGAAGAGCTGGAGAGGAGAAATCTGTACCGGCTATTGAATCTTTCTTACAGGCACGAGGCCCTGCCCACACAGTGCCCAATTCTTGGTGGTTGAGCCCATGCTAGTGATGCCCACATTTGTATCATTGGTCCACACCCCTCCTTGACCCTTAAGCTCCTCATCATCTCTGGTCTGATTTCTGACAAGTACTACTTCAATGATGAGCTCCCAGCTCTTCTCCCACCCCCAACTCCATCCATGACCTTTCTCTCTTGGGAATGGCAGTTTCTATTCTTGCAGTTCCTGGGGCCACAATTCTGCGGTCATCCTTGACTTTTTCCTTTCTTGTGCTGTAGCATGTCTATCCACCAAGCCAACATCAGCTGTGCTTTCAAAATCTATGAGAATTTAACCATTAAATTTTACCACTTCCATGGTCCCCACCCTGGGCAAACTGCTGTCTCTCTCACCTCCATTATTTGAATAGCTACTTACAGTCTCATATCTTTTGTCTCATTTCTGTCCACTTAATTCAACTGCCACATAGGATTTTCTTGTTGTTACAAGGTCTAATTCTGTCATTTATTTGCTCAGAACATAGAGTGGCTCCCCATCTCACTCAAAACCCAAGGCTTACGAAAGAAAGGGTTTAACATAAGCCCTCCCTGACTGTGAGCACCCAATTCCGTGGCTGATTGGGAGTGCCGCCTTATAACCACTGCGGATCAAGGGGAACTGAACAAAAAGGGATGAATGCGGGAATGAAAGACAAGAGACAAAAGAGTATATTTGGAAGAAGGGGTCAGGGCACCTTGCTGTCTAGTGGACAAAGGGACTATTTACACAGCCCTCCATATTTATTAGGCAAAACAAACTTGTGATAAAATGGGGGTGATTGTGGGGAGTAGTAATTGTCAAGTCACTGTTTGGTTCACAGCAGGCTTGCCAGACTGCATCCTGTGAACAATAGGCACTAGATTTCTCAGTAGATAACTTCAGACCAGCGCCCAGGAGGTAGGCCTCAGTAAACCTTTTGGTGGCAGGCGCAGTGTGAGTTTGCTCATCCTGCATTCATGATAAACAGTGGCCTATTTGACCATATAGCCTCCAGTGGAATGTTGAGTTGATCATGATCCCTTTGTCCTTTTCAGCTCCCAACATCTGTCCCTTCATGTTTATGTGTTAATTGAAAGAATGTAAGGCCAGGCTGGGCAGCTCTCATTCTCTGATTGCCAGTCCATCCGATTTTACAGACTATGAGCAGAAGACCAGAAGACAAAAACAGCATTATTCCAGAACTACATAACAAGATGTTGATGAGGTGCTTTGGAATGATCCAAGGCAGACCTCCGAGGCTTGTGCGATTTGGTCCGATCTTCTAAGAAGGCTGACATTTTTAAGTTTCTTATTTAAAATCAAGAATTTTTGCTTTGTCATTCACCAATATCAAGGTGATGTTGGATGTGAAACGCTCCTGTAAATGAGCTTTCACAAGGTCACATGGATGCTCACCTTAGTTTCATTCTCAGTTGCTTTTACACAATATGAATGTGGTTAAAATGACAACGCAATTGCTACTGCAACTGCAAGCTCTGTACTTATTCCCTAACTTACGGACGTGATTTTAACATTGCCACTTCAATTAACTCAGTGTTAGTTTTATTGCATCTAGCCATGGTTGGTCAGCCATCGTGTCCAGTTCTCCGTTCCTGAGCTGTTTGAGTAGAAGTATGCAAAGCTACAGAGGACATCACGACAGAAGTTATTAGTGTGACTAAGGAAACAATAGCAAAAATTATGCCTAAGGCTCTACAGACACGATGAGTAAGCTAAGTTAGAAGAAGTTTCACAAAATGCAAAGCAGGTATGGCGCCCAAGGCTTGGACAGATTGACGGAATCCATGGCCCAGGATGCGAGCCCAAAATCATCAAGGTAGAAATACTATGTGTTTGCAATGTGCTATGATTAATGCAGTGATAAAACTGGCAAGATTTACAGGTCAATTGGGTATTGTTTACCTGGAGCTGGTTCTCCTTAACTGCCAAAAAGACATAAGGATTAAAAACAAAAACTGTAAATTAATTGGTGATATTCTTTACAAATGCAACGTAGGTGTCATACTATTACTGTATTGGAAGTATTCCAATCCAGATGTACCGTTCATAAATAAGTGCTACCTTCTATATAATCTGCAATTGGTCCTTTCCTCCTAGATAATGCCACGGAAGAAGGTGGAGGCTAAATCCTGCTCCATGCCAAGCAATCTGGGCGGCAGACTAGGATTAAGATCCCAGTATTGTATAAAGAAGAAGCATTAAAAGCTTGCCACCAATGCCAGTAAGTTTAATGCCATGATTTCTGATTTTCATCTTTCGATCTAATTGACCTTTAGGTCCCCAATCTAATGTCTCAGTTGAAAAGCATAGTTATTTCTAACCAAGTGGAGCAAGATACTGGGTCCACGGAGTAGGGTAGGAACTATTGAGTGGAATCTGTTCTGTATAATCAGCACAATTAGAAACCAAAACAGACCAGGAAGGTTGGTTAGCACCAGTTCATTAATAGAACCAAGACTTAACAAGTACATAGAGGCCGGGGCGCGTGGCTCAAGCCTGTAATCCCAGCACTTTGGGAGGCCGAGACGGGCAGATCACGAGTCAGGAGATCAAGACCATCTGGCTAACACGGGTAGAAAACCCTGTCTCTACTAAAAAATACAAAAAAACCAGGCGAGGTGGCGGGCGTCTATGGTCCCAGCTACTCGGGAGGCTGAGGCAGGAGAATCGTAAACCCGGGAGGTGGCACAGTGACTGAGATCCGGCCACTGCAC